CTAATCTCTTGGGGTGGGGTGGGGGGGAGGATATTTTACCTGCTTAAGGGAATTCACTCTTTTCCATGTACCTTTATAAAAAGTTAGTTCCCAATATTAATAAGCTTAGTGTATTCACTATGAATGTGGAGTGACCACATATGCTTGAAATTAATATTCTATAATAATGCTTTTCACTGCCTTTCAATGAATTCACATTCACAAATTACTATTACTTTGTTAAATTTTCAATTAACTGAAATCTTACATGAATCAGTGTTAATCTCTAGCTCTGCCTCGCTGCTTCGACTCTGCTTCTTTGCTAATGCTTAGGGCTGGACCAGCTTTGAGGCACGCTAGGGAAAAGACCCGGGCAGCAAATCTTCCATATAACAATAATTATTGGGTGGGGGGAGAGTCCCATTTCAAAGTCAATTATCAATGACTTCTGGATCATCTGCTATTTGTTTTCCAGGCCTATAAAAATGATATCATAATCCTATTTCTAGATGCTATAACCATTCTGAGCAGTTTCAATGCAGCTGAAGTAAAAAAAAGAAATGTAATACATTTATTTGACAGGTTGCCCCCAAAGTGCAGATCAGGTCAAGTAAGTCCAATCTGTTAGTGTTAGTTTGCTACTTAAGGGAGAAAAATCTAACTTACAGAAAAGCCCCACCTCCCTTCCACATTTAGAAATCTGTCTAAAGACTGTCTTTAATGCCCACTATATAAACAACATTAAATATTCTAAGTTAGAAAATAGTGTTAATGGTTTATTGGTAAAAATCGAAATTCTAGACTTTATAGAATTAGTAGTTTGGTTGGTATATTGACATTCCATCTTAATCTTTGCTAACACCATTACAAAGAAAGAGGAAAAGCTAGAAATGTCTATAAAAATAAAATACCTTAACATCTAAGCAAAATATAAAAGTTGCACACAAATTGCCAATAAATATAAACATCACAATATAAAAATTAATATAAAAAAATAAACTCATAATTGCTATTAAGACATTATAAAAATGAAAAAGTTTAATGTGCATGTATATTTGCAAACAGACATAGTACACTCCAAACAAACAATATAATCTTACTATCGTTATTACATAATGCAGCATACAAGGTTACTGAGGTGTGGTTTTTTGTTTTTAGTCTACTCTTTTATGTTTGGAAGAATGCTCACCAAATTCACAAGCAAGAACCGGTTAGGGATCATTTACTGCTGTTTACTGTTTCCTAGTCTGGGGGAAAATTGCTTTTTGGTAGATTACTAAATTCCTAATAAGTATGAATGGTCCTGCTATTATCCTTCCTCTTGCTTATTTCCTCCAAAGCCCAATTTTGCATGTTCTACATCTAATGACCTGATCATACCCTTTTCACTACCACTGTCATCATTTTTCATAGTTCCCCCATGCTAGGAAAAAAGAGAGAATAATTTAAAATGTTTCTTGGTTCCTAAAAAAGAAAATTTACCTAAATATAGACACATAATCATGTTACCTTTTTCTCTTAAACTGATTTCCCTGATGACCTGGCTCTCCCTTTATAAGCAGTCTTCTTTAATAAAAATTATTTAGAAAAGGTGGCTAACAGACATTTACAAAAGGGCCAGTCTATGCTGGGGGGCAAAAGGAAAGGTACTATGACATACTATTCCTTTCCTTTTGGGCACCTGCTATTTCACCCACACTCTTGTTAAAAAGTTAAATGGATTTGCTGTTTTATGTGTCTTATTATCATCAACATAGCTGAGAACTGAAAGCATTAACAATTTTGTTTTCAAACTTACAAAATACATTTGGTGAGCATTTACCTAGATACTTTACAGAATAAACACTACTTCATTCCCTTGGGCCAGATTCAGGATAACAAATAACATTATTTATATGAAACGGTCATACTCTTGGAGTCCTAAAATAATTTATTTTTTAAAGTTTTAGTCTCATGCTATTTGAAAAATAAAAATCTATAGCACCATCTTCTGAAAAGGCACTTTCTAAGAACCGCCTGCTTTAAAAAAATGATTAATATTTTTAATTCAGCATCCACCCCAAAGAGTATCTTTGCTTTACTGAGACGCTAGATACAACATTAAATTTTAGTTACTTCAGACACTGATTTCAGAAAGAAAGAAAGGAAGACCAATGGCTGGATATATGATCGGATAGGACTTTAATTTTGCCACACTGTTTGTTTCCTGATATTCTGACAGGTTTCTCATTGGTAAATCTCAATCATCCACATTAAATTTATTATCTGCCTATCTTTAACTCAAATTAGAACCTTTAACTTCCATACTTTAAGAGCAAAAGATTCTTGAGGCTTAATCAACAATGTAAAAAATCTAGAGTACTATCTTTGATGGGTAAAGAAAAATAAAATTCAACTCGTAGTAGATATTAGTACAAGCCTTGACCATCCTATCTTAGTTAAAAAGAAATTATTTTGACTGAAAATAATTAAAAACTATAAACTGAAATGTACCGGTTTTAAAAATAAGAAAAAGGAAGAATATTTTCCCTTCGTGATATATACGGAGAGAGAGAAGAGGAGGAGTGGCGGGGGTGGAGGTGGGGGTGGTGAGGAGGAAGACAGGTGATTCCTCCTGGGAGTCAGCTTAGGTTTCACTAATCACACTATCATTTCTAACACTGCCACTGATTAAGAATTTTCTTAGTATAAGCAGGAATTTAAAAAAAATTTTTGTGGAGGAAGTTCTCACTTCCACATTTCTGTAGTACTGATTTTACCCCTTTTTCTTGGTTTATTTTTTGACTCCTATAGAATCACAAAAGTGCTTTATATGATCAAATGGGAGGGAAACAGGGAAGCAAAAACCGAGTTTAGAGTCAGGGTTAGACTGCCACTCAGGAAGGCCTCACTTGATATAAAGTCTCCCAATGATAATGACTGTAGCTTTAGAACATCCATGAATTCTCAAAAAGAACGAAAAGGATTGAAGCTCCACAGGGATCAAAAAGCCAAAATAAAGATGCCGGGCCAGTGACGCCTGACTGATAACTCATAAAAGGTAATTTAAATAGCAAGTCACTGTTCGGGGCAACCTGTCTTTGAAAGTATTCAATAGGAGAACATCTAAGGTGATGAGTTAGGAAAATATTTAACTCAGGTTTAAGGACACTGAATAAAAATTATGCAGAGCTGTCAGTTAAGCTTCTTGGCAAAACATTACTATCAAGTTTGAAATAGCAAGACTACAAAATACTCTAGCTAAATCCAATTGGCTGGCTTCATCGATTTCATAAAGACCACCACCCCGGGTAAATTCACGTTAGCTTCTGAAAACACCCACCAAATTCCTTGAACTACGGTCTCCTGGCCTATGACCCATCTAATTACTTCTGATCTGTTACCGGCACTGAGTGTTCACCTTTGCCTTAAACACTGAGATCCTCTGCCAGCCATTTCTATTGAATGGCAAATCAGCTTTTACTTCCCGAGACATACCTTAGGTCTGTCGTGACTAAATCTGTCATGAGGTGCACCATACTGAAATCCATTTTAGTATAAATATACAAGTAAACATTAGGCAGGGGTGGGTCATCAGAGAACCTAGTTTGGAAAACTAGTACAGGACTTTAGAAGGCCAGGAGTCCCTATGCTAGAGGGTAGAGATGAGTCTTCATCATGTGCCTTCCAAAACACCCAGTACATTCCTAGGAGAATCCCTTCTAGACTCTCTTCTAGGAAGAGAAATAAATTAATAGGTTACAAACAGGAAGATTTCCACAGAAGAATACTTTTTCTGAGAAACTTGTTAAAAGGTAAAATATTAAGAAAAAATAAAGGGTAACTTTACTTCTGTGAAAATATGCCAAAACCAGTACTGAAGAGTTTGAGGTACCCTTTTCCAAAACTGGTAAAGTAAAAATCCATATTTCTAAAACCAAGAAAGTATCCTGATATTAAATTGAAACTAAAATGGCAGCACCCTTTGTTACCTTGATATTTCATGTTCTTAATCTTATTTAGGTAAAAAAAAAGGTGTGTGTGTGTGTGTGTGTGTGTGTCTCTAACACTAGCCTTGAAACCTGCTCATCTCCTTTCAGTTTAGTGCAGTAACTGTCAGACTCTACTTAAATAAATATAGCAGCTACAGTATTATAAATGTATGGTCCTCAATGCCAGTAACTTGATACTATAATATAATAACATGTATCAGACTTCACACAGACTCATTTGCTATCCAGAATATACATTAAACTCCCAACTCTTCTTCACATGAAAATCAAGGATACGAGTTCCTGGAACTGACATTTGGAAGTTGCTCAAATATCACAGAAAACAGCAGAATGCTTAACCAAAATTTAGCATTCATCATATAGCTAGTGAGGAAGGGCAGGGACAGAAAGGTCACTGTCGAGTTTCATGGCCATTAAATTCAAAACAATCCTTTTAAAAAATGAAAAACACCAGGAATTCTATACCAGAAGTGCAATAACAATTAAAACAAAATTCAAAATGTATTTGCCTCTTAGTCTTTTATCTTAAAACTCTAAGTACAAGATTTCTTGTAGTTAAGATTGACATACTAATTTGTTAGTAAGCAAAATAGAAATATACTATACATACTCTTTCAAGTTAACCAACCTTAAACTAGTAATATTGAAACTGTAAGAAACTCTAAAAAAGAACTCACTTCAAAGGTAAAGCTTTATATTTAAAACATTTTTTCTTTCCTTTGTAAAAGTCTTTCTAAATAGATTTAAATTATGGGCTTCCCTCTAGTGAATGTGAAACTAAGTAACTCAAAATTAGGTAAAACAGGAACTAGGGAAGGGTGTCTATAGTTCTTCCCTGGGCCCTAAAGTTTCTGTATAACTCCCACTGAAAAAGGAAGATGTTTTACTCATACTAAGCAAGCACAGAGCAATCAAGTTTTTACCACATACAATACACTATTTTCTTCTCTTGCCCATGTTCCTGACTACTATATTTAGTAAAGTTTCAACATAAAAAAAAAATACATGCTTTACAGGAATTTTTTGGAGGAGAGGAGGGAAGGTTGGGAGAAAAAATGTATATATTATACAAATATTACCTCGTGTAAAGAGCTTTGAAACAGTGTTGTAAATAGCATTTCAAACACTTCAATATAATAAACATACAAAATACAGTACTTTCTTAGTTTTCTGGCGGAGGGACAAAAGATTTCGTAACTGTTGGAGGACACGGGCTCAGATTTTAGGCTCAAAATACAGTAAATTGGCAATAAGAATGGATTACAGGTAAGAGAGAAACTATAGAGCTAATCCATTTGTTTTCATGAACAGATGGAATTTTGAAAGGTTAACAACAATGCCCACTGGAAACAATCTGTAATATTTATACTCTGAACCAGTGCAAAAAAAAAAATTAAATTAAAATGCAATTTTCATGAGTTACAAAAGTGCAAAGCTCCCCTGAATCCAATGTTACTGGTGAACTTGGTTTTGACAGCTTTATAGTACTATTTAATATCTTAAAGTGAAATCAATAAAACAAAAGTTTTGCAAAACTTTCCCCACATTTCAGTGATTTAACTCATTTAAAAATAATCCAAGCCCTAACTTCGTCATCATAACCCTAATTTTAAAAGGAAAGTTACACTGGTGATAAATCAGCAAAATTTTTTTTAGAAGATCACATTTTCCTGATTCATTTTAATAAATGAAAATGGGTACCTAACCATTCTTTAGTAAATATGATTTATTTTCAAAGAATTTAAATATCTTCTAAAATCTTAATCTAGTCATGATCATTTTGTAAATCAAAGTTCTTTATTTTTAATATTCAAGGTTAAACTCATTTAGGATATCAATTTCCTTCATTTTCATTGTGACTTTTAAAGACATGCTTTAGACTTGAAAATTGCAAAACTTTCCTTCTGAAATTAAGGCTGTATTAGTTGCTCTTTTAACATTATGGAGGTGCCTGTTTCTTCCACTATCTGTGGTACCGATGTCAAACAGACACAGCTTTCCTTTAAAACTGCTTATTGCACTAAAAGATAGCATAAACAAGTTGTCAGTTCTTAAAATAAACATGATTATATTTCTATAAAAGATGTTGCCAATACAGTTCTATAATTATTAAAGCACTATTCTAATAAATATAAAAGAAAAGGAAGCTCTACTTCAAAATACATACATATATGTTTATATATACACACATATATATAAAAATATATATATGAAAATCACATTAATGTATGAGAGGCAGCAAGTAAACTAGCAAAAAAAATATTTTTAAAAACCCTCAACAACTTCTTCTTTCTCTTCATCCAATTTCAGAGGCCTCAACCCTACAGAGCTGCAATCACTTAAAATATTTACTCTTTATAAAAGCTTTAGGGGATTTCCATGTATAACCCATAGAAACAGAAGGCTTTAGAATATATATCACTTATAGAGAGAAAGAGTTATAACTTCAGACAAGGTTTTATATTTATAGCAGCTTTAACAAACTCACTAAAAAAAAGAGAATAGTTTAGGTTGCCACTGCTTATGTACACATTGCACAAATGGCAAATGTTAAGTTCGGAGTAGGAGGGGGCAGCACAGACTCTCATAAAAACGTATATATACATACATAAAATAATTTTGCTTCTTAAGAAAGCAATATCAAGAGTTGAGGACTCAGAATTGTGTATGAGACAAGAGGCAGGAGTGGGTGTGCAAATAAAAATAAAGTCTAGTTTGCCGCGCTTCATACTCAAATGAACCAGATACGTGAACATCTGAAAGTCACTGGTAGCATTAAGGAAAAAAAATGTAGGTGAGGGAGGTAGAGCGAGGAATAAAGTGGTGGCAAGAGGATAATAAAAGGGAAAGACATTTCCCAATGGAATGAACTATAAAATATATACAGAGAACATATATATCTATTATCACTGTAGATCCAGATATATATGCATATGAAGTATACATGTATACATTTAAAGTGTACACAGATACTTTACAAGAATACACGAATACACACTAATGTTGCACACATAATTGTGAACAATCACTGATTATTCATGTAGGTGTGTTTTTTAAAACCATCATTTACCTTTTCTTTCTTTTTTTTTTTTGCAAAGATAGTTGTGCTGCCAAGCAACTTGAGGTAAAGGCATTAAAAGGGTTAGACTACAAGAAAGTGAAAACAAAACAATGGCGATACTTCCTACAGGAGACCGCACGAAAAAGCAGTTGGCTGGTTTCATATTGCATATGGTGCTGTGTTCCTGGATGAAGTAAACAATCTTCCTTGCATCAACATAAAAATCAGACCCTGGTCCCACAGTGTTGGTTTCTGTATGGCTGGAGGCATCCCCGCTCAACTGACTCCACTGGAAACATACATCGTATGTCAATTCGTCTTCTGGTTCTTCCTCTCAGAGAACATTCTCGGACTTTTTTAAGCAAAGTACATTGTGCGTAAGGTATCTTGGTGAATCTGTACAGCCTTGGCAAGAGCTTGTGGATCTCGCCCATTGCTCTGTCCTGAAACGTGACTTCCTTCAGCACTGCAAGAGAATTGGCAATGAATACACAAACTAACCCTATTCTGATGTAATAATTTTGAAAAGTATTATTTGTTGTAGAAAATTTCAAAAATATTTTTAGAAATAGAGGCTAGTATAATGATCTCCTACATGTCTATCACCCAGCTTCAATAATTAACTCAAGGCCAGTTTTACTTCTCTCACCTGTCCAGGATTACTTACAAACAAATCCAAGACATCCTATAATTTTGTTGGTATATATCACATGTATTATCAATAATGTCTCCCTTGAGTTAATTTGATATAGCAAGTAAATCATTATATCATTCTATTATAAGCCTAGACTGCACATTTTAATGGGAACCCTTATCCTGGGCAGTCAGTTCTGACTATCATTGCTTTTCATATGGAACACTGACTCCTCTAATAGCTCATGGAACTTAATTTTCTAAATGATAGTTCTTTATGGCAAACAGAGCGCCACATACTTACATGGAAACAAAGAAATTTCCTGAGGAAATCCTAACATACCTAAATTTGGGTAAAAATCTGTATTTGTTATGCTTTTATATTACCTGTCGTGTTCTTTGTCTACGAGATGATATCTGGCTCTGAATGCCACCAGGTGAGCATAATACGCTGGTGCGGGTATAGAAACAGAACGTGTACAGCGCACATAAGTGTGGCAGAGCTGGTAAGTTAGCAGCTGAAGTTCATCTGCAGTAAAGCAGTTATCATCCCATAAAACATGATAGTGTGAAGGACGGCTGGTACCCTATAGAGAAGGCAATGACACATTCTGTTGATTTCTAAACTTTTAAACAAATATTCAGCAGATTAAGTTATACAAAAAGCCAGCTTTCTACATTAGTGAAACACATTCTAATTTAAAAATCGATTAAAAAAACATTTAGCTGGTTCTGGGTATACATCCAAAAAAAGTGAAAGCAGGAACTTGAACAGTTGTTTGCACACCTATGTTCGAAGCAGCATTATTCACAAGAGTCAAAAGGTGGAAGCAACCCAAGTATCCATCGATAGATAAACGAATAAACAATACGTGGTATATACAATGGAATATTATTATTCAGCCTTAAAAAGGAAGAAAAGTCTGACACATACTACAACATGGATGAACCCTGATGATATTATGCTAAATGAAAGGAACCAGTTACAAAAAGACAAACATTATATGACTCACTGATATAGAGTACCTGGAGTAGTTGGATTCACAGAGATACAAAGTAGAACTGTGAGGCTGGGCAAAGGGGGGAATAGGGATTTAGTGTTTAATGGGGACAGAGTGTTAGGAAAGATGAAACAAATTCCTCAGCTAGATGGTGATATGGCTGCATAACAACATGAATGTACTTAATGTGATGGAACTGTACACTTAAACATGATTAAAATGCTAAGTTGTATGTTATGTATATTTTACCATAATAAAAACTCCAGAACATTTACTTGAGCTCCTATCTATTAGTTACTACATTAGGTAATATGGACTCAAAGAAAAATAAAGTCAAAGATTTCTTGTCTTTTGGAAAACATATCTCGTAGAGGACTAGAGGAGACAGAGCACGTACCATTATAAAACGACTAAGAAGTGGCTGTATGGCTGCAGCACTTGGCCCTGTATGAGGACACCAAGGGAAGTAACGGCGGGAGTACGCCCTGGTTCTTCACCAAGTGGGGGGGAGAGAGACTTGGCCTTTTTTAGAGTTAGTGAGGAGACTCTAGAACGAATGGCCACCTTAACAAAAGCACAGGGGGCATAACGATTCACGGTGTGTCTGGGGACTGGCCAACAGACCGGTATTAACAGGTCTCTGACCGGGAATCGAACCGTGATCTCCTGGATCCCAGGTCCACGCTCAACCGCTGAGCCATGCCGGCCGGGCAGTTGATTGATTTTGAAAGGAAGGGAGAGGGAGAGAGAGAGGGAGAAACACTGACGTGAAAGCGCAACACAGACTGGCTGCCTCCTGCACACATATTAATGGAAGCACCTGAACAAAAATACTTCACCTGAAGTGTGGGCTTACCTGTATTCCAGCATGGCTACAGAGGTAAAAATCAAACTCATATGGGTGCGTAATGTCTGTATCCACGGTCGTTCCAGCTGGGATATTGCCACTTCTTCCAACCTGGATTTGTTTGGTGAAAGTTTAAATAAATAAGACAAATGTAAAAAAGGTATCTGAGAGCACTTTTAAAAATGTATAAATATACAGGCTGATCCCACGATTCACTACTTTCAGCTTGAACTATTGCTTAAGCAGGCATTAAGAGCAGCCCCTATTCTAGTCTCAGTTCCTATTCTTAAATGTTGCTGAAAGTGAGCTATGACACAGGACAAAGTTATTAGTCTCTACTATATGCTCAGCTGGTTGCTGATCCCAGTATGGGTGGAAGACTTAAAAAAAACACCACTTTCGTTTTCAAGTTACTTTATAATACTTATGCATAGCAGGTACTCTTGAATGTTTATGAAAATTAGCATTTTTCTTGGAGAACACTGTATTTTTAGAGAGAAAGAATGCTGACAACAACCTCAACAATAGTCACCATTTGTTAACCATTTTTATGTGTCAGGTACTTTACACACATTATTTCTAATCCTGATAATCCTGCAAGTTAGGTATTATTCCCATTTGTTTAGGGAAACTAAGGCTCAGGAATATAAAATAATTTGCCCATGAGCATAAAACAAAGGGCAGAACTGGGAGTCAACCACAGAAATGAGTGCAAAGGCCCTGCTCCTTTTACTTTATACTAGCAGTTTCTTACTATTTTATACTAGCAATTTCAACCTCTTGATTTTCTCTGCGTAGATATACGAATGAAATGGCTCAAAATAATGAAAGGCCCCTAATAAAACACTCCAAATATACATATACTCACCTCCACCTCCTTATCTCTAATACATTTAAAATCACCAACTAACATTATTTCTGCATGTAAGGAACTATGAGGTAGTTGGCTCAAGTTACAGCTGTGGAGACCAACCAGCTAGCCGTCACCAAGCACAAAACAAACTGCATAATCTACTAAATTATGCTGATTCATCACATAAATCTAATTAATACATATAAAAAGTTTTGTTCTACTTAGAGAGGTAGCTGAAGGCTTGGGTTCACTTCACAGCTCTACCACTTTCTAGTTCTGCAATCTAAGGCATGGCATTTTACCTCATTGTGCTCCTGTTTCCTCCTTTATAATGATCTCTAATCATTTAGTATCAGTAGATGATATCTACTAATAATAATCCAAATCTAAATATAAAATAATCGGTAGATTTAGAGTGAAGCTGAAAGAGAAGCAAACAAATGGAGGACTGGCATAACTAAACATCAGATGCTAGTAATCATTAAATCTTACTTAGCTTTCCTAATCCTACTTTTGAGGAAACCTTTGGTTTTCAAGGTGCAGAAATATACCTAGTAATTTGGGGTCAAAGGCCTTTAACAACCTGGCCATAATAAAATTATTACTACTGCTATCAGAGAGGTGATAGACCACAGTGATTAAGAGCACTCTGGAGACATGCTGCCTGATTTGAATCCTAGCTCTACTAATTATTAGCTTTGTAACCATGGGCGGTTAACCGCCATGTAACACAGTTTCCTCCTGTGGAAAATGGAGATAATAATAGTAAGTACCTCACAGTATTGTTTATGAAGATCAAATGAGGCTAATTTGTACAAAATCCCTCAAACAATGCTGACTATTGTTCTTTTTCTCTATTATTTACTAGCATCACCACCACATGCTATAACTAGCTAACCTTTATTAAGTACTAAAGCATGTGCCAATCACCATTCCAAGTGTATTACATATTTTAATTTATTTAATCCTCTCAACAACCCAAATAAAGTACGTACTAATATTACCCAAACTTTGTTGAGAAAGAAATAGGCACAAAGATGTTAAGTTACTTGTCCAAAGTTACACAGTGAGAGTAACCAAAGACCAAATATACACCAAAGACAAGACACACTCCTCTGTCTCTCAGTCTTTCCTATTGAACCCTTTCCCAAGGGGACACAGACACTTGCAATCCTTTGATTTCTCTGCTCCAAGGTTAGCAGGATGGGGGCAGAGCACTGGAAATGATAGTAAGACTGCTACTTGCCTATGTTATACACAGACAAGAAGACCTATTTCCTCCCAGGTATTTATACCTCCTTCCCCTACCTAGTTATAAAAATATATATTCACATTATAAAACACAGAAAACAACTCTATAAATTTTTAAGGAAGAATTGTTTAAAAGTTAGTTTGTAAGAATTTCTACTAGTCATTCTAGACAGTCCCTAGCTTTAAAAAACAACAACAATTTTTACAAGGTATTTTAAAAAGAGAATGTACCTTTTTCTTTTGAACATTTAAGGAAAATATGAATAGAAAGAAAAAAATTTAAAACTATGAGTTTCTTCACAACAAAAAAGCATTAGTGGGATTTTGAACACTTGGAATGCTACTAGAAATTCTAGAAAGTTAAAAATTTTAAACAATTAACATATTTTGATGCTTCTATACTCATAATCTGCTTTGTTGAAATTTGCTACCATACATTAGAAACTCTGCTGTTGGCAGAGAGCCTTTGTTTAAGTGCTCTATGAACTATGTTAGATAAGCCTGGCTTATGCTAGTATTACAAAAAGATGTAAGATTACCCTTTCTGTCCTATCAGCACAAAATAATCGAGTGTGATGTCTCTTCTGAACTACAATGTAGGTTATTCCAGGTTGATAGTCTTTCTCCAAACTGATGCAGGCTTCTCGAATTGCTAGCAGTTCATAATATAATACCTAGAGAAGATGAAATGGAAAGATTTGATATAATCAGCCGTTCTCTCACACATACTTCAAAGTAAGACATTTAGTCTCAGTATATCTTAATGTCATCACTTTACAGCTAAACATACCTCTCTATTTCATCTTAACTATTATCAGAGCACAGTCTTAGCAATCAAGGCTTACACATCCACAGTAAACATTTTAAAAGGGAAATCTAAGGAAGCATCAAATTTTGACTTTAGGATTAAGGCTTCTAACTTCAGAACTAGACACCATATTATAAACACAGTATCTGATTTAACCATAGTATGATGAGATCCCAGGCCACCAACCTGCCTAAACTGTCCCTCTGAAACACCATCCCGATAAAAGATGATACGCGTAGGTTTGAACCGAGTTGACTTATAAAATTGAATGAGAAGTTCTCGGACCATGGATGCCAAGTCCTGGATGATCTCCTGTCGGGGTCTCTGAACTCTTACTGTAGCACAGTATCTGCTTGGGTGGGCATCCATACTACCTACAACCTATGTTGGAAAAGTAAAGAAAAACAGAAATAAGATAATCAAAACTACATGAATATGAACTTACTGCAATAAAAAAAATTGAAAGCATATGGATTTCATTTAAATTTGTATTTTACTATAACCTTCTATATACCATTGTTCATTTGGAGAGTAATCAAAAACATCATTCCCAGTGAAGAACAGAATAAAAGACTCAGTACAGGGTCAAAAATCATTTTCCTATAAGAAGGCCGTACTTTCCATTTAACAATTAGATTCTAATTTTTAGATGTTGGCAGACCTAATAATTAGTAACGGGGAAAAAGGAGACAAAAGAAATAAGAGAAAGGAAGTAAAAAAGAGGACCCATGAAAAAATCCTTGATTTCTCTTTATATTTTTTATACTTTAGCAAATCACCCCAAAAGCCATACTGATGACTCTGGCATCATCTTAGAACTGTTAAGCTTCATAAACTTTAAAAGAATTTTACCTTTCTTACTTCAATGTCCTAGATCAGAAGGCTTGAATCCATGAGTTTGTTTTCTTTTATTTGTTCATTTATTCTGTTTTAATTTTTTTTTTAAGATTCCACATATAAGTGAAATCATACGATATTTGTCCTTCTCTGACTTATTTCATTTAGTATAATGCCCTCAAGGTCCATCTATGTTATTGCAAATGGCAAGATTTCATTCATCCATTTGTGGTAACATGAACGGATCTTGAGGGCATTATGCTAAGTGAAATATTTTAGACAGAGAAAGACAAATACCATATGATTTCACTTATATTTAGATTTTAACAAACAAAACAAAAATAATCAAACTCACAGATGCAGAGAACAGATTGGTGGTTGCCAGAGGTGGGGAGTGGGTGGTGGGTGAAATGAGTGAAGGGGGTCAAAAGATACATACAAATTTTCAGTTATAAAATAAGTCAGTCATGAGGATGTATTGTACAGCATGGTGACTATAGTTAATAATACTGTATTACATATTTGGAAGTCACTAATAGAGTAAATCTTAAAAGTTCTCATCACAAGAAAAAAAATTTTGTAACTATGTACGGTGATAGATGTTAACTAGACTTATTGTGGTGATCATTTCTCAATATAAACAAATATTGAATCATTATGTTGTACACCTGAAACATAATTTTATGCTTATAATTATATCTCAGTTATAAATACACCCACACATACAGTATTTAAAAGCATATCTAACTTCCTGTTAGTAATTTAAATGTCTTACTCATTTGAAACCAAAATATGGAAAATTCTTATGTTTGTCTTTTGTCTTAAACTAGAAAATAATCACGAGTTTTTACAGAAATGAGCTAGAACCTGCCTACCTATTTATGTACATGAGGTTGTATCTGCTTTTCCTTCATGTTCTATATGAAAAAATAAACCGAACCATCTTCCCTCTGAATGGTATCTCACTACTAAAATATAAATCTATACCCCTTCTGATGGCACAAAAAGCCTCACAAAAGCCTCACAGTCTGCTATACTACATTTCAATTCCCTGCATTTCTCAACATTCTCCAAACACACCAGGTTTCTGTGATGTAAATTTTAATTTACATCACTATCAAGGTAATATCTATTATACTATGTGGCATTTATTACTTATATTTGTTTCTCATACTAGTCTTTAAGTTCTTGGGAATAGAAGCCATATAGCAAAAAGAATCAATTAATAAAATCTATTTTGATGGCCTCTGATAATCATAAAAGTGGGTATTTGGTAGAAATAGGCTTAGTAGGAAAGGACGACTATAAAAAAGTCCTAAAGAATTCCAATATGCTTGAACATTCTTGGAAAATGACCCCAAAATAGCAAATCCAACTAAGTCTTTTTAATTTCTTTCTTTTTTTTCTCCTTATCATTTTATCTTTTATAAGAACATTTTTATGAATATCAAATGGCTCACTACCATCTCTAGGACACTTAAAATTAAACAATTCATGCATAACTATAAGAATACAAAGCAACATAACTTATTAATAGATAAAAGTCAATTATCTTCACTAATGAAAATAGCTTTTGAATAATATGTAAAATTAAAAAAATATATATGTTTTTATTGATTTCAGAGAGAGAGGAAGGGAGAGAGGGAGAGAGATGGAAACGTCCATGATGAGAGAGTCACTGATTGGCTGCCTCCTGCACGCCCCCCTACTGGGGATCGAGCCCGCAACCCAGTCATGTGCCCGGATTGGGAATTGAACCATGACCTCCTGGTTCATAGGTCAACACTTAACCACTGAGCCACACAGGTTGGGGTAAAAACTTTTTTAAAAAAATGTTTTTATTGATTTCAGAAAGAGGAAGGGGGAGGGAGAGAGAGAGAGAAACATCAATGATGAGAGAGTCATTGATAGGCTGCCTCTTCCACGGCCCCTGCTGGGGATTGAGCCCCAAACCCAGGCATGTGCCCTGACCAGGAATTGAACCAAAATCTCCTGGATCCTAGGTCAATGCTCAACCACTGAGCCATGCTGGCCTGCTCAATAAAAAACAATAAAAATTTTAATGTTTACTATCATTTTCGAAGATAAGTAAGGTTTATCAGATTGTTAAAAATGTATGTAAAGACTATTAAAATGGATAATAAAAATATAAAATCTTACAGCTTAATTTCTAAAATTTATTAAGTATGCCTAAATATATGTTGACATTTTCAAAACATTGGCAGTAGTTAAAATCAAACAATTTTCAAGTTGGGTAAAATATTGTCTGGCTTTCTGTAGTTTATAAGAAATACACTTAAAAGAGCTGACACGGAAAGGTTACAGGTACAGAAGTAGGCAAACCTACAGGAGGCAGATGTTAAAAGTAGGAGTGGCAGTATTAAACAAAGAATTTATGTGCAAAGTATTAAACTGGACAAAGGTAGAAGATATTTTATACTGAAAAAAGTACAATCCACCAATCTTATATATAATGCATCTTTCTATATCAAAGACATTACTGAAAGACATACACAAATTCTTCGAATTACAGAAAGTTACTGAAAATATACAATCATGTAGAGGAGGTCAAATAGACAAATTAAAGTAGGAAACAAATTAAAGAAGATGTGAGTAATACAATAATTAATAAACTCGATTTAATAGCTATATATGGAACTTGCAGCCCCCAAACTAGAGCAGAATCATTCTTTTCAAAAACCCAAGGAACATATGAAAGTTGACTTTATATATATTTATAAAAGTTGGTTTCAAAGAAAATATCATTAAAATTCAAAAACCTGAAACCAAAATGTTGATCTTCTTCTAAACTTTAGATAAATCTGCCTAATGACACTCACAGCAGCAATAGAAGGCTTCTTCCCATCACCAGCTGGTGGATGAGTGACATCTGCTCCCAAAAAGATCACTGGTTGCTGGAACACAGAAGGTCTTAAACACATTTTTTAAGAGAGTTAGATAATTCATTTTTTTCATTATCTATCTGTTTCATACTACTGTAATACATCTGCAAGTTGCTGACACAGCACAGAGGTGGTCCTATACAGGCAGCTTTATAGGCCTGAAATACTGACAGTTTTATTCTCTTAATTCATGAACCCCTGGCCATTAAAAGCTCACAGTGGCTCTATCCAATGTCTTATTCAGAGCAGTTTTCTGCCTTAAATAGTGGTGATGGTGGTTGCAGAGGGCTGCCAGTGTTCTTTGTAATAGCATAAAATGTTAGGCTTCCTCATATTAATCCACCAATTTGTACTAATCTTTCTTTAATGTACTTACATTTTAAGCTTATGTAATCTCTCAAGGAGAAAAAGAATCATTAAACTATACACTGAAAGGGATTATGAGAGTCTACTACTCCCCCTCCCATGTCCAAAAGTATAAATTTGAATAACATATAGTTAACAGTTATGAAGCAGCTAGTAGTTCATTTTATTTCTGAAACTATATCCTTTTAAAAAAAAAAATTTCTATTGTTTTGAGAGAAGAAGGGGGAGAAGGAGGGACTGAAACATCAATGATGAGAGAGTCACTGATCAGCTGCCTCCTGCATGCCCCCCACTGGGGACAGAGCCCAAAACCCAGGCATGTGCCCTCACCAGGAATCGAACCTCCATCTCCTGGATCATAGGTTGATGCTCAACCACTGAGCCACGCCAGCTGGGCATGAAACTATATCCTTTAAGATTCAAATGATTATTTCTTAGTTCTTGGGCTTGTTGATAAAATTCTATATTCATTTCATTTAAGAATCTCATCTCATATTTAATAGGGATAGGAAGTTGAGGCAGCATGGAAAAACAGGAAAAAAAGAGCTTTTATGTCAAACACATATCCTTATTGTAATGATTATTTGTGTGTGTACTGGTCAAGATATTTAACTTTTTTTTAGTATGTTTTTGTTGGTTTCAGAGAGAGGAAGGGAGAGAGAAACATCAATTGCCTGCCTCCTGCATGCCCCCTACTGGGGACTGAGCCCATAATGGGCACGTGCCCTGACCTGGAACAGAACCAGGGAACTCCTGGTGTACGGGATGATGCTCAACCAACTGAGCCATGCTGGCTGGGCAAGATATTTAATTTTTTAAAGCTCTAGTTGCTTCAACTATTAAAAGGAAACCTGCTGTTTAATTCTCCAAATAACAGCCTCTTCCCCAGCACCTGTTTCTAGGTCATTAAGTCTCATACTTTGTAAGAGCTCTTAGACAGGATGGTGATCCAACAGTAACATCCATTGTCCCACTGACTGCAGCAGGGGTTGATATGGCTTAATTAATGGATCTATTGATGGACATGTTCCCCCAACCCATCCCCCAGAACCTCCATCCTTCCCTCACTTTCTAGGTAAGTAGCCTCATGACAGCTGGTTGAAGATATGACTATCAAATAATGAGAAAATTCTTCAAGCTGGGCTCTCCAGTAAGAAATAAAGCTCTTAATACTTTCTAGGTAGGCAAGAGGAATTTTGCATACTAAATGAAAATAGAGGTGGGAGGGGATTTTCACAATGGAATCTCTTAAACTTGCCAATCCAAACTCTTTTAATTCTTTTTGTCAAAATGTCTATTTACCACCCACAGCAGGAATCATCAAAGCGGTTTCTTTTTCTTTCTTTCTTTTTTTGTTAATCCTCACCTGAGGATATTTTTTCCACTGATTTTTTTAGAGAGAGTGGAATGGAGGGAGGAGAGACAGAGAGAAACATCAATGTGAGAGAGACACATTGATGGGTTGCCTCGCCCATGAGCCTCGACCTGGGCTAGGGATTGAGGCTGCAACCCAGGTACGTGCCCTTGACCAGAATCAAACCCATGACCCTTCAGTCCTCTGGCCAATGCTCTAACCACTGAACCAAACTGGCTAGGGCCAAAGCTGTTTCTTAAATGGATCTTAGATATGGCAATATATAGAAAAATTAAGATATAAAAAATAAGTATTTTATTAAGCGATTAGCTTAACTTACCTTTGATGAGGTACAAGAATATTATTGATCCCTCCAAGTTTAACATTTATCTTTAGGCACAGGTTTGAGAGAGTTTGAGGGGATGTTTTTATCACATTCTTGACTTGAACACACTGTGTAGCCATACCCAAAAGTGTATCTCCTACACGTTTCACCTCCGCTATGAACAAATGCAGATACCTCTAGTTAGAAAAAAGGTTGAGCTTTACTGATAATTAAGTTACCGTGTTTCTCTGCTTGAAATACATTATTGTATTGCAGGGTACCAAAAATTACACCAATACTAAAACAATGCTGTTAAAACTTAATGTATACTGCTTTGAAGATCAGCTTAAGTATTTACTGATAATTTTTCCAACTGTTTTCTTCTTTGTATAAGAAAGTTTATTTTTATCATCATGGAAAAACTATAAGCACAATAACTGAAAGACCAAAAAGAGAAAAACATCACACATAATCCCTTGTTAGCAATTTACTGTACTCTCTTCCAGTAATTTTCTCATTTATATGACTTTAATGCAGTTATAATCCTGGTATACTTATAGCTTTCAATCCCATTCTCCAACCTTTAATTTAAAAATACAGAGGTACTACAGTGTAAATAAGAAAAGGCGCAGTTCATTTCCTCTTCTCTGCCATTATAACTACCATAAAAAGTTCCATGTACTTAATTTCTTATACATAAAATACATGGAAAGCATTTTAAAATAAAAATTGAGAACATACTACACATTATACTTTGCAACTTGTTGTTTTCACTTAATATAGTGTTCTGAATCTCAATATATAGATTGCAGTTACCTCATTTTTAAATGCCATAAGGTATCTAACCAGTCATACACTGATATATTTTTAGCTTGTTCCAGTTCTTATTATTTCAAACAATTCTATGAATAATATCCTTGTGTATTTATTTTTGTTTGGTTATGTAACTATAGCCTCAGAATAAATTCCTACAAGTAGAATTGAGGGGCCAAAGGTATATATATATTTAACATTTTAAAACATACTGACAAATTGCCCTCCTTAAAGACTTATTCATTCATTCAACAAATATTTAATGTGTACCCAATCCATGCTAGTACTGTGCAAACCTCTGGATATATAATAGTGAGTCAACAGGGACACTGTTCCTATCCTCATAAAACTTATAGTACAGTCAGAGAAACAGGCATTAATTAAATAACAACTCAAATTTAACATTACAACTGTGAAAGCAAAATAAAAGTGAGAGAATTGGACCTTGTCAAGGAGGTCAGGCAAAGCTTCCCTAAGGAAGGGACGTCTGAGCTAAAATTCACAGGAACGTACAATTGCTTGGTGAAGGGTGGAAAGTGAGAGGCAATACAAGTAGAGGAACGAGGGTAAGCAAAGAGTTTCTGGGGGGAAAAAGAGCATAAAGTGTGATGAATCTTGAAAAGGTACGAAGTCATGGATTTGATTAGTTATGAATGTATGCTGTAAACTTTAGGGCAACCACTAAGATTTTTAAAATATATGTTCTTATTAATTTTAGAGAGATAGTAAGGGAGAAGGAGAGAGAGGGAGAGGGAAAGAGAGAGAAAGAGAGAGAGAAACATCGATTGGTTGCCTCCCTCACTCGCTCTAACTGGGATAGAACGGGCAACCATTTGGTGAATGTGACGAAGCTACAACCAATTGAGCCACACTGGCCAGGGCCTCAATGGCATTTTTTCCCCCCTTTCCTTTTTTATGTTTTTATTGATTTCAGAGAGAGAAAGGGGGAGAGAGAGAAACATCAATGATGAGAGAGAATCATTGATCGGCTGCCTCGTGCAAGCCCCCCACTGTGGATTGAGCCCACAACCCTGGCATGTGCCCTGACTGGGAGTCGAACCAGGATCTGGTTCATATGTCAATACTCAACCACTGAGCCACATCGGCCGGGTGCCTCAATGGCATTTTTAATAACAATTCTTCCCTTAACCATTGTTTTGTAATGCCTACTTTACCGAAATTCTTTTCACAGGGTCTTTTCGTAGACCATTTAGTTTGCTCTACTGATTTGTCTTTTTAAAGTAACAATACATAGTTTTAAATACTGTAAGTTATAAAATGTTTTAATTTTTGAAAGTTTTAGGATATGTTTTGGCATCACTCTTAAAGGAATATCATCTGCTTGAGGGAAAAAAGCAATCTTAAGATATCCTTACCATACACTGGCGTCTTCCCTGGCAGGATGACGATGATGAGCTGAAGACCAGAATAGGTGTTCTTCAGATGCCGGAACATGGGCTCCACGCTGTCTGCCCCCTGTGCATATTTGCAGAAGCAAGGCTGGCCCTGGATGGGCATTCCTGCATCTTTAGAAATCTTACGCAGCTGGTCCGTGAAACCCCTAGAAGGAGCAATCACTAAAAATAAAACATCTGCCTAATCATTAATACCTACAAAGTAGTAATAGAAAGTTTGGGAAGGGAATGGAGAATGAAGCAAAGATTAGTGTGCTCCATAAAGGAAGAGATCACCAGACTACTGACGTTTAGGACAACATGGGTCAGTAATCTATTTTTGCAAACTAACACTACTATACAGTTGTGTGGCATTTTGTACTTTACAAAGGGAATTAGTAATAGAGTGTGCTGGTTAAGAGCTCAGCTTTAGAGTCAGCATGAGAGGTTCTAATCCTAGTTCTGTTACTTACTAGCTATGAAATTTTAGGCAGATTTTTTCAGTTTCTTCCATTGGTAAAATTATTACTTCCAGGACAAGGTTGGTGTGCAGATTAAATGAGATAATACACGAAAAGCACTTAGCATTTTGCCCAAGACATGGTAAGACCTTGATAAATTTAAGTTACTGTACATTTTCTAATTTGAACAAGATTCATAGGAAAGTGGTAGGTCAGGTATTGTTCTCATTTTATTTATTTATTATTATTATTAAAATATATATATATATTAATTTCAGAGAGAGGAAGGGACAGGGGGAAAGAAAGAGAGACAAAACATCAATGATGAGTCATTGATTGGCTGCCTCCCGCACACCCCCTACTGGGGATTGAGCCCGAAACCCCGGCTTGTGCCTTGACTGGGAATTGAACTGGGATCTCCTGGATCATAGGTTGATGCTTAACCGCTGAGCCACACAGGCCAAGCTATTTCCATTTTGTAGATCAGGAAACAGTGTCAGAGACATTAAGTATTTGGTCAAGGTCAAATGGTTAGATAAATGGCAGAGTCAGAACTCTGACCTACTCCAGAATTTTCTTCCACAATATTAACCTTTTCAGAAAAGATTAAAAAGAAATAAAACCAACATTTAAGAACAAATTAAGCAGATCTCCTCCACCTGGCATCAATGGGGATAAAAAGGGAACATCTGTAATACTTTCAACGATAAAGATAAATTAAAAAAAGAAAGAAACAAACAAACAAATGAGGCAGGCAGCACTTTCATGGATTTTTATCCACACTGAAAAAAAACAAAAACTAGTAATTTCATATCTAAACAAAATTCTCCATTCTTAGAATAAATGAATAATGATGCTGAGGTTTAACAATAACTTTTCTTGTTTTTAAAACAAAAAAGGTCCTAAGTCAAGGATCTGAGTTATCTTTGATCAAAAACATGCTGATTCCCTTAGGACAGAGATAAAATTTGTAGGAATTCCCTTCTTCTTTTTCTTATTAATTCAAGGAAGTGTAAAGGTGAATATTTTCAGTCAGCCTGAACAAGGGCCATACACCCAATGATTATGAGACTTCTATCAAGCCATGAATAACATATGTAAAATGAAAATAATAACTCTAAGCTTGAAAAACAACTGGAGGATTTTACTTTGATCTCTGGAGGTCAAGTAAGATAATCGTAGCATTGTAGCTAAACTGTCCTTAGGACATTTTATTTGAAAGCAAGGGGATAAAAACTGTAGAGAAAAAATAGTGAGTCTTAAAACATACATTTAGATGTTTGGAGCTAATAAAAAGTAGTGAACAGAATTAAATAGAAAAATTTTTTATTTCTCAAATAAGGAAACAAAGTAAATTCTGAATTGACCTGGGTAAACTGGACTCTAAATCACTCAAGAACTATTTGTTATGGGCACACTTTATAGGATTTATTAGTGGAGATTTAAATTAGACGATAATTATTTTCTTAAAAAAATTAGGTACTAGAAGGGAGATAAATTTAAACAAATACTTTCAATACAATTATGTTTTACATAGAAAGTGACAAGTACAAATAGAGAGGATATTAATAAATTAGTGTGTTTAGAGTTAAGATCGATTACTTCCAGCATCACAAAGCACAAAAGATTGAGCAGTATTTATTTATTTTTTCTTTTTTTATCCTCACTCAAGGATATGTTTTTTAAAAAAGTGACTTTAGAAAGAGGAAGTGGGGGGAGATTGAACCTGCAGCCTAAGTATGTGCATTGACCAGGAATCAAACCCGAAACCTTCTGGTATAAGGGACAATGCTTCAACCAACTGAGCCACCCAGCCAGGGCAGATTAAATAGTATTTAGATGAGTAGAGATATTAAAGAGTGGCATAAGTGGAAATGAAAAAAATGCCAGGGAGATATAGGGAATAGAGTGCTTCAGTTTTCTATCCAAAATATGTGAAAATGAAATGACTTAAGAGGCAGGTGAATGATTTTATATGTCATAGTGATTTTTAAAAAAAAGTTTTTATTGATTTTTAGAGAGAGAAGAAGAGAGAGATAGAAACATCAATGAGAGAGAAACATTGATCAGTTGCCTCCTGCACGCCTCCTACTTGGGATAGGGCCTACAACCCTGGCATGTGCCCTGACTGGGAATTGAACTGGCAATCTCTTGGTGCATGGGATGATGCTTAACCAAGTGAGCCACATGGACGGGCATCATACTGATTTTTAATGTTATTCTTTGTCAAAGAGAAGCCTAAAAGTTTTGGAGTGGAGGTAGTCACTAGAAGAGTCAGTACTCATTCACGACAACATAGCTCCTCAAAAAAGAGTGACAGGGGATGCCTGGCTGATGTGGCCCAGTGGTTGAGCATCAACCGATGCACTGAGAGGTCACCAGTTCGATTCCCAGTCAGGGCACATGCCCTGGTTCTGGGCTAGATCCCCAGTAGGGGGCGTGTGGAAGGCAGCCAATCAATGTTGATGTTTCTCTCTTCTATGTTTCTATCTCTTTCCCTCTCCCTTCCTCTCTCTGAAATCAATAAAAACATATTTAAAAAAAAAAAAAGTGACAGCAGAAGCCCCTGAGACTGCCAAAGGTCCAAAGACCTGAGAGTCCCAAAGGAGAAGAGAGGAGAAGAGAAGAAGCCAACATGATAAAAAGGAACCAGGAAGGCAAGAATGGAGAGAGTGTCAAAAGATAATCAATTGTATTTAATGCTGCACAAATTTTGAGAAAAATAATGGCTGAGAAGAGACCATTAGATTTGATAAACACAAAGATACTAGAGATCTTTCAGAAACTAGTTTCAGCAGAGCACTAAGATTTCAAGGAAGGAGAGAGAATGGAAGCCTTGGAAGCCTGAGAGAATAAGTTGGGTAAATTGAAAACTGAAGATTTTTTTGTTTGTTTCAAATTTAAACAGAAGATTGTTGAGCACTTCCATGTTGAGGGGAGAAATCTGGGGAAGAGGTAAAATGATGGAGATGGAGCAAAACTTTGTAAGGTAAGGAAGTGGAAATGAGGAGTTAAACCACTCTTTCAAGGAGCTCAAATGAGAAATAAGAATCTTATTTAATCCTCACCCAGCAGATAGGCACTATGATCTCTATTCTAAAAAGGCGAAACTGGAGTATGAGATTAAAAAATTATCCATGGTAATAAAGCTAGGAAGGGGCAAAGTGGGATTTAAACCTATTTGCCACCAGAAGTCACTGATGCACCTGTCATACCACCTAAGCTAGGCTACTAGAATGCCTAGGAGAGTGACTCAGCAATTCTACTATGACCACCAAACTCAGGGATCTTCATAAAAATACTGAGAAGAAACATTTCTAAAGGCTCAGTGATTAAGTACACTTTATATCGAGACAACATTGGTTAGAACATTAGCTGAAAAATTTAAAACTGAAATGCAAAATTTAAACACAAAAAGGTTCCAAAGCCAAACTAATGACAAGACTTACTTGAGTATTTCTTCTCTACACTGCCTCTGTGTGGCAAAACAAGCTATAGCCCACATTTTGATTTCAACTCCTGTGTGGAACTGTTTCCCTCGCATGTCCCATACTCCATGGCTTGGTGTGGCTACTGTCCGATTCTATAGAAAAAGGAGAAAGACAAATATGGTAAAAAGAACAAACACTTAACAGAGTTTATTTCAACAATCTGATATAGATGTGTGTGTGTGTGTGTGTGTGTGTGTGTATGATATTCTACATGAAATAGGTTATTCTAAATCAATATTATTTATATTTTTATTATAAACTCAAGCAAAGACACCTTGAAACAAAAAAATATTGTTCAAACAATAAAACATTTTCTAAATTCCAGACTTAGCTAGGAATGCCCTTTTCTCCATACATACAAACTGTATATTTATAATTAAAAAACTATCAAGAGGTTTTACCCGTCCTCCATACTGGAGCATAGGTGCTGGAAGTACACGTCCGGTTACATGGGCCATTTCATCCCGAACTTTAAATTGGAACTCCTGAACAAATGGATCTGTTTCATAATTTGCACTTCTTACCTAAACAACAGAAAGTCAGTAGTTACTTTAAAAATGCCGCCAAATCTCCTGCTTTACTTATTAGAATTCTCTGGTTTTTTTCCTTCACTGTGTCAACGATGTTTTACAGTTAAGTCTAGTTAATGGTACCCTAAACTACAGAGCAGAGACTCTTAACCCAGGGACCACAGATCACGAATGAATCGCAGGAAGTCTGTGAACCTCCTGGCAATTTGTAGAAAATTTAAATGTATTAAGTTGAATAACAAGAAATTTCAACTATTTACGTCCCATGAAAATGGTAATTTTATATGATTAAACCTAACATATTTTGGGAGTGTGGTCTAGAGACTGCAAGAGAAAGAAATACTTAACCTAAAAAAGGTTAAGAACCTCTTATTAGAGGATCCAGATATATACTATTAAAATTACGTAGTTTAATAGTAAAATTGGTAATTTACAATTTATATAACATTTAGTTCAATATTTTCAGATAAAAAGTGCCATGTTCTAAAATTTACTTAATGGGATACACTTGAGACAGATGATAAAGCCAGTATGAAATACAGATTATAATTTTTACATAACATATCCATACATACAGTCTGTTGTAATTCAGTATAGACTTGGATCTCAGAGTGTAATTCACGTTTATAGCATGCTATATAGTAATTGCATTTCAAAACATATTTACTTGGTTTCAGGGTAAAGGTCAAAGTTACTAACAGAAGGCAATGCTCCAGTATTTGTGTAACAATCCATTAAAAATACGATATAATCTAAAATGTAAAAAGAATCTCCCCACAGTGTTTTCTTAATTAGGCACTGATGCACCTTTTCTTCAAGCTTAAATGCCATTCATTTCTGGTGTGTCTTAGTGTACCTCCATAGTAAGATTATAAAGAATGACAACAATTTCTATTTATCAAGACTTGCTACATGATGTGCTAGGTGCCAAATGTTTTATAATTTTCACACTAGTCTTATAACTACAAAAGTAGGTCTTTAATAATCTTTATTTTACAGAGGCTAAAACTAACGCTTAGTAAAGTGAAATGACTGGCCTAATACCACACAATCAAGTGACACAGAATCTGAAACCATGTATGTTCTGATACAAGATTTCCTACTCTCAATCACTGCACTAACCTTTCAGATGCTATAATTATAATAATACAATAACAGTAAGTGGAGAAGCTAGAGTTTGAAACCAGAGCTGTTATTCCAAAGCCAGTAATTTTTAACTACTGTGCAATACTGTCTCCCTGAACAGAAAAGCTGTAATAAATAAGCTGGTAGTTACTGAGGTTTTATAGAGATAGTGAGAGGTTCTAGTTTCTTAAAGGCTTTAAAATCTTGTCATAGTAGCCCAGCCAGTGTGGCTCTGTTGGCTGAGCACCGTCCCATGCACCAAGAGGTTGCTGGCTCGATCCCCAGTAGGGGGCGTGCAGGAGGCAGCTGATCAATGTTTCTCTCTCACATTGATGTTTCGATTTCTCCCTCTCCCTCTCTTTCTCTCTAAAATTAATAAAAACATATAAAAAAATTTTAAAGGAGACGATTCCCCAAGATTTAAAAATAAATAAATAAGCCCTAGCCAGTTTTGCTCAGTGGTTGAGAGTGTTGGCTTACAGACCGAATGGTCCTGGGTTCAATTCCAGCCAAGGGCATGTGCCTCGGTTGCAGGCTCCATCCCCAGCCCTGTTCCTGGAATGTGCAGAGGTAACCAATCTATAGGTCTCTCTCACATCAATGTTTATGGATGTTTCTCTTTCTCTCTCTCTCTCCCCTCCCCTTCCTTTCCACACTCTCTGTAAAGCAGTGGAAAAAATATCCTCGGGTTAGGATTTAAAATAAACAAATAAATAAAATCTTGTCATAGTAGATCAGAGAAAAATCCACGAGCATCACCCTGCATTTTCCTAATTAAATATCATGTGACAGCTTTCATCCACTCCTTATAAAACTATAAGGAAAAAAATGAGCCAGTTCTATAACCCTTTTTCAACAATCTTTAAGATTGCTTTTGAAAGTGTTTTTGTTTTAGGTAATATTCATATTTCCAGACTATCTTCTTGTCAGCTGGGCAATTTAAATGACATTAAAGAATGTAAGATCCATGTGCCTTTTATTTTTCATTTTGCCTTATTGTGTCAGTTTTATAAAGTGGTATTGATAACCCTTCCTTACCATTTAGAACAATGAGAGAGCTTAGAAACCCTACACAGTTAGAGCCATATTATTTCTTTATTCATTCTATAGTTGCTGGTCTGATACCGGGGGCTAAGCTATCCTACACTGAGTGTTAAACCTCTCACTATCTCTAGTCATGATACCTTTACTTTTCTTCCTTCTCCCTCTTTTAGGTGGGAACATTAAACTGAAACATCAGTTCTGAGAAACTGTGTTCTGTATCTAAATAGAGTTTGAGATTAAATTAGAAGGTACTAACCCTTCTCACAGAACCCACTAAGGTTTACCTCAGAACACCACTAGATTACTTCCATGATCCCTTGTAATTCTGACAGTTCATAAAATAGTAATAAGGTATAAACTGGTAAGGACATGGTTCTCTAGTAGCTCACCCTAATATATTTTAAATTTCCATTTCCATTTCTAGGGTTAAGTACTAACCAATCTGCTAATTTCGTCTTGTCTATCTGGTGCAGATCTTGCTGTTGCTTTGATCATAGTGGAAGTCTGATTGTCCGTTAGCTTCTTGATACATCGTTGCCCTGCCACAATATTACAGACCTACAAATAAAAAAAAGTTTTGTATTTGATGTATGTATCTTTTATTTAACTCTCAGTGCCAATTACATATGAAATTCTATTTTTAAATCTACTTCAGTAAACTGTTTCTTTTTAATATCATATTAAGTAAAAAAGTAGTACACAATACTGCTTTATAGTATGAAAATAGTTAGGTAAAATGTTCACTTGAATACAAAGGCTGAAAAGCAGTGTACCAAATTGCTAACAGGGTTACATTTAGTGTTAGGACTGTGGATAAATTTTTTCCATATTATTGAAAATTTAGAATAAAACTTAAAAACAAATCTCCAAAATAAATGTGAGAGTATACAGGTATAGGTCACAAAAGCCCACAACAGAATGATGAGTAAGCAGATAGTAATAAGCAGCCTAAACACATTACTTCTAGTGGCAGATAGGTATGTTTTTGCTCCTGCCCCACTTGCAGACAGGGAAGGTGTGGGTACTTCAGCTGAAGAGTATACTTTTCTCTGAAATACTGTGCTACTGTTCTCTCCACAGTTTGGCCATTTTCTAACTGTAAAGGAAAGCTGGAAAAAAAAAAAGTACACATTAACAACTCTTATCTCATTATGAGCCAGCAAAACTCCCAATCCACTAACTAGAGCAAGCCGCCTCACATCATCTCTGCTGACAAACACCAGCTTTTCTTACGTTTGATGACTGGCAGGCCTTCTTGTTACATTACAAACACGGTATTTCCGTCTCATTGTTCCACAATGAGTCACTTCAACCTTCAGACCTGTTCCCAACAAGAAAAACAAGGTTACAGAACTATCAAATGTAAAATATTTACAGCTATCAAGCCTGTTCATTACTATAAAAACTCAAATTCTAAACAGAAGATCTGTGATATAGGCAATGTGATATTAACAAAGGATTTTATATATAACACTGCATATTATGGTTACAATCACAAATAGACCTAACTCCAAACATTTTCTCTATCATGTCAAGCTCTACACATTTAAAAATATTATGATAAAATTTGCAAAACCTGTAGATAAGGGATAAAGTTCTCTATTCATAAAAAACCTTGTTTATAACAAATTCTGGTATTTATGCTTGGAGAGGGAAGGAGAACTTACTCCCAGCATAAATAAAGAAGAGTTGCAATAATTCTCAAAATATTCTATAACCTTCAAAGTATGTGGTATTTGAATAGCCCAGTCATCACATACTGAGTGAAGATCAGAATTTCATAAAGCTCAAGAAGGAAGTCCTTCAGAGCTTTTAAAGCAGGTAGGAAAAAAAAAATCCTGGCCCCTTTTACATAAGTGGAGCGACAATTTTGTTGAAGTACAATATAGTGACACAGCTTTTACTACTATTAGAAATCAAATGCCCCAAAATAATTCCTAGATCAGGTGATCCCTACTTTCTTATGGAATCACTGATTCCTTTCAGAATCTGATGAAAGCCATAAACTCAGGAAAATTCACATAATTGAACATATGATTTTATATGTTCCTGGATTCTTGTAGCCCATCTGTGGACCCTAGAGGTTTGAGAATCCCAGGCCTGCTTTATAAAGTGAAGCAATGGACTTTTAAATTATTGGCTGAAATTCTTAAGGATGAATTTTCTTAAGTAGCACTGTCCAATAGTTTTCTGAGATGATAGAATATTCTATATCTGTGCTAATACAGTAATCAATAGCAATATGTATTACTGAGTACATAAAATGTAGCTAGTGTGACTGAGAAACTGAAAATTTAATTTTAACTAGTTTAAAGAGCTACATGTGGCTAGTGCCTACCATATTGGCCAATGGTTTTGGAGCTACCTAGAGGAGTTAAACAAATACAGTGGTTACTGCTTACAGATAAGCAACTCTACTTCTATGGCCTATACTCCAAAGGTGGAAAATCTAAAAATGGGTAGGTAGATGGAGGACAACTTTTAGTTCCCTGGTAGTCTTTATCGTTACTTTTGTATTATTTCTCTTTTATATCTGTGATTCCTATAATGCAGTGGTTCTTAACCAGAGGTAATTTTGTCCTATAGGAAACATTTGGTAATGTTTAGAGACTTAAGAAAAAAATAAAAAAATCTTATTTTTCAAGTACAGTTTATAGTCAATATTATTTTGTTTTAGTTTCAGGTGTGCAGCATAGTGTTTAGACAACTGTATACTTTACAAAGTGACCCCCCTCCTGATATTTCAAGTACCCACCTGGTACCATACATAGTTACTACAATATTATTAACTATATTCCCTATGCTGTACTTCACAGACATTTTTGACTATCACAACTGGAGGGTGCTATGGCATCTAGTGGTTGCTAGATTTAGGGATACTTAGATCCAGGGATGCTTCTAAATATCCTACAATGCACAGGGAAGCACTAACTCCCACCCTCCACAATAATAATTATCCAGCCCAAATATCAACAGTGCCAAGGTTGAGAAACCCTGCTGTACTATAACTTATTTGCTTATCTAATTACTAACTACAGAACCAAACATAAAGTTCATGCATAGTAGTATTTTCTTCTGATATATCAGCAAAAATTAAGATGTTAAATGAACACAGTGTCGCTGTACTGGATTGGTATGGGTTTTTCTTGAGTATTCTAATTGAATCAGTGAGAAATAGTTTTTTTAATAAATACCTTTATCAAACTAAAATTTCACATCAATTAAAGCATTTACTATGCCTCTATGTTATTAAGAAGACTAGAAAATAAAATATTATCAAGGGAAGGCCTTAAAAGAAGGAAACACCAACAATTTGAAGTATGTAAGATGTAAAAATACTATCTTTAGAGGAAAAACACAATAGAAAATTTAGAACAAATTTCTATTATCTTACACCACTTAGCAATTTGGTTTCAAGTCTTCCACTTGAATTAAAAAATTTATTAATAATCCTATAGCATTTCATTATAGCATACTTTGTATCATTATTTAAGTTTTCATCAAATTCCTCATGCCAGCTAAAAATTAAACCCAAATATATATCACAGAACACTTAGCTTTGATTTTTTTGAGTTACTGTGGTAGGATTGCTCGATGTACTTTAAAGAACCCTCTTAAAAAAAAAAGGCTCCTTCTTGACTTTGGAGAAAAAAATCATTAGTTTGTTAATTAGATCCAACTTAGATTTTTCTACCTCAAATCTAGGGCCATAGGTTCCTAAGGATTAGACCCAAATCCAGGGGTTAGAAAAAAGTTGAAATTTAAAAAAATGGACTACATAATTCTCTGCCCAGCCCTCCCCCACCCCCAAACCCTCCATCCAACACACCAAAAAAAATGGTTTTAATAAATCAAATATTTAACCTATAAACTTGGTTTTACCTTCACTATAACATCAACTTTATAATGCTTTCTAGTCATTTTTTCAGTCATTTCTTTAGACCCCTGAGCAGTTGAAGTTAAGATCGAGTCCATGCTCTTCGGGCAGCAGCTGAATCCTTGTTCTGTACATCTTGTATTTTCTGTGATAAAGTGGTGATATGAGTCGATAGCATAGTTACCGCAAAATAATCTAAGTGACTTCATGATATCAGAGGTGGTAACTAAGCAGCAACTCCACTGGAAACCATGGCATTTAGATGATCACATATTAATGGTGGGTAATGCACTACCTCCCAACAAAGCTAACTGTGCAGTTAATACAGACTATGGAAGGATAATGGTATGACTGCAATACAGTAGTATATAACATTTTCTTATTTTGGTACTTTACTTGAGATAAATGGATGCTTATTTTCAAAGCAGGAAAGATTTTCCTTGTAATGTTTTATTACAATGATTACCTCTTTCCTGGTTACTAAATGGCAAAGAATGATTGATTACTAGAGTAAACAGGATGCATTCAGCTACTACTCTGAATCAAAATTGCTCTTGAAAAATCCCTTAAATTGCTGATAAAGTCAGTGTATGTGGGTTTGCATATAAAACTGTGTATGTATTTTAAAATGTATATAGGAATGTACAGACATATAAAGAATAAGTTAAATATATATAAAATATACATTTTAGAACACTACTAAACTTATTCTTTTCTTTTTTTGGAAGGCCATGTAGAGATGAATTAAATTAGTAAAACATACATATGCAACACCACTGTACAAATTTTAGCTACTAACTAAAAGAGGCAAGATCAATGATCAACTGTATAATAGACATGAAATAACTAAGTTCCAATTCTAGAACACATGAAACAGGCAAGCCCTGTATCCATACATTTTCAAAGGAATAAAATATTCTATCATTTCAGAAAAGTAAGGAAGTCATCGTATTAGAATTTGTTCAAAGAATGATTCCAATTCTGAAGTAACAATGTTTCTGAAATAAGCTTTCTACTTTTAGCAGTATTATAGAAGCATTTCCCCATGAGATACTCTTATACATTCAGCTAGGAAGGGAAAGTAATAACAAAAAATTATCTGGTATTGATATTAATTCCATTACTCAGTACTTTTTTCATCAAAACACTACCTAAGATGTTATGGTAATGAACTTAATGCAACATTTTATAATTGATCTTTATTTTACTGGTAATGTTACATGAATAAATTTTAATTAATTTTTTTTCAATAAGTTTGTCATACTCATGAATTTTATAGTTAAGTTGTTTCAAATGCTAATTAATTCACCTTTTATCTCTTTGGTGAATTTTACCCGATGAGAATCAGTCAGAGGTCTTGGCTGCTCATCAATATTATGAATGTCAAGAACTTCACACATGAACTGAATTACAGGTTGTGCTTTGTAGAAGGCAGTGGCAGAAACTAAGAAGAAAAACACAAATAGTACAAATTAATGTTCCCTTAAAAAAATTCAGAAATAATCTCAGGCTCCATGATAATGAACTAGTTACAGAGTTAACATTATCCTTTACACATACTTATAAAAATATTTCCAAAATTAAGCAGTTTCAGTTTGACCTCTGTTTGACTGAAAGACAAGCGCAAGAACAGAAAAGCTAAACACTAGTTTTATTTATTTATTTATTTATTTAAATATATCTTTATTGATTTCAGAGAGAGGAAAGGAGAGGGAGAGAGAGAGATAGAAACATCAATGATGAGAGAGAGTCATTGATCAGCTGCAGCCTGCAACCGGGGCATGTGCCCTGACCGGGAATCGAACCCTGATCGCCTGGATCCTAGGTCGACGCTCAACCGCTGAGCCACGCCGGGCCGGGCATAAACACTAGTTTTATAATCTCTCTCTTTCCCCATCGTACTTGAATCATTCCATTCTCTACTACATGTACAGAGAAGTGTTCTGGGTATGAGACAAGGCCTGTAAAGGGACAAAGAAGGCCCAAGACCCTTAGCAAATGAGGTTATGTTTTTGGTTTTTTTTCCTTAGCTTCTCTCTCTCTTTTTCTTAATTGATTTCAGAAAGAGAGGAGGGGAGAGGGAGAAACGTCAGTGATGAGAGAGTCATGGATAGGCTGGCTGCCTCCTGCCCGTCCCCCACTGGGGATTGAGCCAGCAATCTGGGCATGTGCCCTGACCATGATCTCCTGGTTGATGGGTTGATGCCCCACCACTGAGCCACGCTGGCCGGGCCCATATTATTTCTTAAACAAAGCTTTCTATGCCACTCCACACTGTTTATCTATTCTAGTGAGAGTTTTCCCTGTCTTGTACAGATCTGAGTAGACAGCAGTGTTAAATGTTATTAGTGCTAATGCAAGCTGTAGGTAGTAACAATAGTAAGGGGTATCTATCCAATGTTATCTAGCTGCAGTTGTAGTTTTCTAACAGTCAATCAGTATTTCTTAATCTTGGGTTTTAGAACTGGAAGTGTTTCACCAATAGTTAGTAGATCACCTTCACACATTTCTTAAACGCATACTTACTGACTGCTATTATGTGCTATACACTAGAGATACAATGAAAAGTAAAACCAAAACAGACAGTAAGCTACATGCTATATTATTTTTCCACTTAAAAAAAAACCATGCCCACTGTCTGTTAAGCTAAGTGTAAACTTTTTATGTGGTTCTCCCTCTTTGGTTTAGCATTATATGCCCTCCACAAAATGTCACTCACCTGTGGAAGAATATTAAGGCTTTAACAGCAGCTATCTTAGGATATGTGTGGGTGGTGAGGCTACTATGGATGTTTTTTATTTTCTCCTTTTTATCTTTAAATCTTCATTTTTTAATAGTGAGCACATATTATGTTTTCCTTTGTTATAAATTCAAATAATACATACAGAGTGAAGACTTCCTCCAGTCTCCAAGCAATCATTGTTGGTAGGTATGTACGTATGGACATAGTGTTCTTTTAATATGCATTTACAGAGATAAAATGTACACTTTCCCCATTTGTTCCACTATGCTTCTAATCATTTTACCGTTTACCATCTTCTCTAGAAGAATGTGGGCATCTGACGTGACAATGAAATTTAGTGTGTGGGGGGGAAGGCTCTTATAGCCCTGCATTCCATCCGGTAGTTACCCAATCATCTGCCATAAGGCCAACTCAGGGGATGCTTGGCTTCTGTACGCCTCCTCCCCAGAGTCCACTCTGGACTCAACACAGTGGCTTCCCAGGAAGTAGGGGGCCTGGTAGAAGCACCGAGCCAGGCCTAAGTGGTGGCATTTGGACGCTGAACATGTTGCAGAGTTGTGGAGCAGCTCAGAAGATAAAAGGACAATTCACTTTTTAAACTGAAGACAGTGAAAAGACGAACCAAAGAAAAGTCGGTGACTGTGCTAGATGCTGCGGTTGAAAATAATCTAGATATTGATGGTTTTGGTGCATGTGAGTGAACTCTGGCTTGCTCTACCTGTCACCTCATCTCTGAAAAGCACATATATAAGAAATTAGAAGCAATTGCTGAGGAGGAGAATGACACACTTGATCTGGCTAGGGGCTAACAGATCCTGGTTGGGCTGCCAAATCTGACAAAGTCTACGGACAAAATGACTGTTCAAGTACCTTGAGCCATGCCTGCTGCCAGAATAAATAGGAATATTTACACAAAATTTTACCCATTTTTATAATTAATATTTCTTAATGTAATTAAGTGAGCATGGATGTTTGGAGTTACTATTATGACCAGCTTTATTACTTTAATTCACCTTGTATAACTACTGAATTTTGTAGTTTGAAAGTATGCAATCTTTATTTTGGTTAAATTATAAAAGGCTAATCAAATATTAGAAAATAGTATGATATAACATTACATAATTACCTTGTTTAGCAACTTTACCAAAATGTTTTCACATAAATCCTATGCCTACCTGCCTATAAAGGTTTAAAAAGGATTTTTATCCCTGTTAGATGTGGGTGAAGACAAAGATCTAAAATGACCTGTCTAGGGCGATATGGTGAGTTAGAAAATCTGTACTAGAACATGCATCTTGTTACGACAAATTAGGTGGTCAGACTGACACTGGAGAAATTACGAAATATCTTATCTAGAACAGTAATTAAGTGTGAATGTGTATGGAAAAAAACTATTGCTTCATGAACTGATTAACTTCAAAGACAGTTGTTATCAATAAATATTTCAAAATTTGGAAACAGAAACCTCTTACAAAAGATGGACTGAGTAAATATGAATTAGGTATAAATTTCAATGAGCAAAAATCTGTTTCTCCATCCCTTGGTTAAATCCTTAACATTTTATTAACCTACATATATATGCTTTTTATTCCTTCCCCTTTCAAAATATTTATGTTAAACATTAAAAAAAATCTATTAACAAAATATAGCACATTAATGGGTTAAAGGAAATAACCATACAATCATTCCCATAGATGACAGCCCCCAAAAAACCATCAGATAAAACTCAGCACCATAGGTAATATGACCACTGTATCAGGATTAGAAGGGAACTTTCTTAATTTGATAAAAGTTATCTACCACTAAGAATCCCAAAACACCAATCAGAAAGAAGATATACACCCCTTTGTTCATAGCAGCATTATTTACAATAGCTAAGATCTGGAAACAACCCAAATGCCTATCAGTAGATGAGTGGATAAAAAAGCTGTGTACATTATCCCATGGAATACTATGCAGTTATAAAAAAAGAAGGATCTCTTACCCTTTGCAACAGCATGGATGGACCTGGAGATTATTATGCTAAGTGAAAAAAGCCAGTAAGAGAAAGACAAATATCACATGATCTCACTTATATGTGGGATCTAACGAACAAAATAAACTGATGAACAAAATAGGTCCAGAGACATGGATGCATGGATCAGACAGACAGATCTCAAAGAGAAGGGGGAGGAGAGGACGGGAAGAGATTAACCTAAGAATTTATATGTATATCCGCAGAGCCCATGGACACAGATAATAGTGCAGTGAAGGGCTGGAGTGGGGTGGGAGCCAGATGGAGAGGGGTAAAGGGGGGAAAATGGGGGACATCTGTAATAGAGTCAACAATAAAAATAAACTTAAAAAAGTTATCTACCAAAAATCTACAGCAAGTTCAACTTCAGTTAATAGGAAGCTCTAGCTAGCACAGTAATTCAAGTTAAATTAAAAATAAATAAATAAATAAAAGGACCCTAGCTGGTTTGCTTAGTGGTTAGAGGGTGAGCCCACAGACTGAGGGGTCCTGGGTTCGATTCCAGCCAAGGGAACGTACTCGGTTGCAGGCTTGATCCTGGGCCCTGGTCAGGGTGCATGTAGGAGGCAACCAGCTGATGTGCCTCTCTCACATCGATGTTTCTCCCTCCCTGTCTCCCTCCCTCCCTTCCACTCTCTCTGAAAAGCAATGGAAATAATATCCTCAGATGAGGATTAAAAAATAAACAAACAAACAAATGTAAAGAGAATGGAAAGGGAGAAACAAAATTATTATTCTCTACAATATGACTGTCTACACAGAAAACCCAGTAATCTATAAATTACAGAATTAATAAGAGAGTCCAGCAAGGTTGCTAGATTTAAGATCAACATATGAAAGTAAATTATATTCTTATATATTACCAACCAACTTAAAATGTAATAAAAAAATACTTAAAATCACAACAAAAAATGTAAGGTACCTGGAATGAAATCCAAACAAAAGACGTAACACGTATAGAAGTAATACGTATCTTTACTATTAAAAGATGTTTCAGAAGATTTAAATACATGGAGTAATATAGCCATTTCATGAAAATTATGCCCAAATTAAGCTGCAAGTTCAAAGCAATTTCAATTGAAATAGCAACAGGAGCCTGTTGTGGCTCAGTGGTTGAGCGTCCACCCATGAACCAGGAGGTCACAGTTCAATTCCTGTTCAGGGCTTATCAGCTGCCTCCTGTACTCCTGATGGGGGGTGTGCAGGAGGCAGCTCATCAATGACTTTCATCATTGATGTTTCTCTCTCCCCCTCTCCCTTCCTCTCTCTAAAATCGATAAAAACATACTTAAGCCCTAGCCAGTTTTGCTCAGTGGTTAGAGCATTGGCCCTCAGACTGAAGAAGACCAGGTTCGATTCCGGCCAAGGGCATGTACCTCAGTTGCAGGCTCAGCACTGGTCAGGGTGACCGCAGGAGGCAACCAATCTCTCTCACACTGATGTTTCTCTCTCTCTCCCCGGCCCTTCCACTCTCTCTGAAAAGCAATGGAAAAAATATCGAGTGAGGATTTAAAAAAATAAAAACATATTAAAAAAATACCAACAGGATAATCCCCACAACCTCCGGAATTTAAGAAACTGATATGAAAATTAACACAAAAAAGCAATAAAACATGAATAGCCAAGACAATATATATTTTTTTAAATCCTCACCGGAGGGTATTTTTTTGATTTTTTTTAGAGAGTG